CCAGAACCCCAGGATAGTAGGCGCTACCAGGAACCTCCAGATGTTGCTGAGTTCAACGCCCTGTTCAAACTGGGCTCAACTGGAACAGGTCGCCCAGGCAGGCTTTGAGCATCTCCCAAGGATGGAGACTGCACAACCTCTTTGCGCAGCATCTGCTCTTGTTCAAACACTTTCAACGTGAGGAAAGGTTTTTATCACATTTAAAAGGTATTTTTGGTGTTTTGGTTGATTCCTGTTGTCTTGTCACCAGGCAGCCCTGAAAAGAGTCTGGCCCTATCTACTTTACTCCCTCCCTTCAGGGTATTTATAAACATCGAAAGACTACCCCAAGCCTTCCTCCTCCAGGCTAGAAAGCCTTGAGAAACCCTGTCATCTTCTTAATAATAAAATCTAACTTTTGAAGCTTTTTGTTTTTTTTCTAATTCTATGCATTCTAAAAAAGAAACAGTCAAGAAAACTACTATAGCCAGGTCATGCTGAATTTACCTTAAGACAAGCAAAATGTAAATTAGCTTTCAAAGTTGCACAAAACTAGTTTTACTTCAATATATCTGCCACAAAAAGTGTATGCTGTATTAAAATCTAGTACTTGAGATTAAAATGCTAGTTTGTGATAAGTATCAGTAAATACCCTTTTTCTGTCAGCTACAGTAACATATGCTAAAGCTCTTCTAGACCACTAAGAGTTATGTAATTTAATATTAATACGGCATTATTAATATCACATGCCTTTAATGGAAAAAAACCAATATGCCTAGCAAAGCAGAATCACTGGAGGAATACCATATGTTCCTCTATCTTAACTATTGACATTTATTCAACAATTGCTGTATTAGTCAGGATTTTTCTTCAAAAATTGTACTCTGATGCTGAAAAAAAATGGCTTAACTCTTTTTCTGGCTAAGTTTGGCTTTCATAAATTTCCATAAATTTATATAATTGCACAAAATTCACAACAGATTTAAATCAGCTTCACTAATTTAAATATTTTTGCTGTAATCTAACACCAAGGCTACCAAAAGTTCTTCATCTCACCTCTTCTTGTTTAACACTGAATCATGAAGAAAATGGGAAAGTTAATTTGTTTCTGGCAGAAAAGAAAAATATTCTCAAGGAGTACTCTCCAAAGTATTAGTTTTAAATTGTCCAAACGGCAATATTGATAAGGTACTTTAATATGTACTTTTGAAGACTACACTAAACTAAATAATCACTAAGGTTTAGATTACAAGAAATATAACCATAGACATACAGTGGGCAAGACTCTTTCTTCTGAGAGAGTTATTCCAAACATACTTCAGCGTAAGAGCTAAATTTGAACTTGATCTTAACTCTTACAAGGAAAATGTAATGACTGAAGCAATGCAAGAATTAAATACATAAACTGCTCTTTACTAGGCAGAAAAATGCAGCCCATGATTTCATAATTTTATTCTTTATAGGATATACATTCAAAAACTTCTCAACAAATGTAAGAAATCAAAATCAATTCTCATGAGATTCTTTCTGCTTTATTATTGCTACACATTGACACAAGATACTGTCAATAAAATGAGTTGGAAAATAGAATGTAACTTTTATCTGTGCTATATAAAAAACACAGGGAGCATTATGTACAATACATTTTTGCATACAGAACATTATGTACAATAAAGATGACTTTCTTATAAAAGGTAACAAACATTACTGAGTGCAAAGCACAAGCAGAGACAAAGTGACTATGAAGATCACGGAAGACAGAAGGTACTGCTTTGCTTTTTCTTGAATGCTTAAATTATTTGCACTTATTTCCATGAAGATTTTATGTAGGAATGGATATTAATATTAAATAGCTATTGTATGAAAAAAAGAAAAAAAAGGAAAAGAATCCTTGGAAAACAAATTTGTCATTTATATAAACTAAGCAGACAAATGTTCAATTACAATATATATCTAGAAAATGGAGACCTTCTTCTAACATGAAGAATCGTCCATGTATAGACAGAAAGTAGATATACCTAACACTTCACTGCTTTTTCTCTTCTTTTGATGAATTGTATAGATTTTCAACAAGAAAAAAAAACGCAGTCCCTCTTTTTTTCCTGTTTTTTTCCAGTCTCTGCTTTATAGTAGTTCTCCTATTTTCTACATATACAGACCTCTAGTGACTTTAAGACCTTCTTCAGCATTATTGCATCGACCATCAAACAGCATATTTGTTTTTCAGAGAGAACATATTATCATACTGAACTGCTGTATTTCATCTGACAGTAAGCCAACAGTAACAACTGAATTTCCCAAGTTAGTCATAATACTCCAAGGGATTTCTTTTGTTTGAAGAGCTAATCCCTAAGACAACACAAATTAAAAAACAAAGTGGACATTGTTTTATTAATCAATTTGGCACTCTTGATATCATATCCATCTTTATCACTACAATTCTTTTCTGGTCTGCAAATGGATTGTTTTCTCTTTTAAGAAATGAAATTTAGCTTTAAACATGAAGCATAGAGACACTGTACTTTACTATATAGGTCAGCAGTAGTTTATAAAAAATGCGTCTGCAAGATGAGCTCATGTTAAGCTTTTAATTCTAGTACGATTATCTTACATTTCTGAAATAGATTACAAAAATGAGGTGCATTTGCACAACATTTTAACATTACTGCTTTCAAAATCTGTTTCTTTAAAAATATTCAATGCTTTAAAATGTCCTCCCAAAGTATTTTCTTCAACAACTAATTAAATAATAAGGCACAAAAGCAGATACAAGTAAACATATAAAAAGTCCAAAAAATGACTATGAGATGTTTCTACCTACATTTAAATAAATGGTGCCAGAATGACAATGTTGTCACAAAAATACCAGAGAACCACAGCTCAGTTCCCACTCCATCAGTTCCTTCCTCCCATTCATACTTAGGATTTATTGGTGGTGGGGACTGCTAGGTCTCTACTTCATTCCGAAGAAGCTACTAATGCGTTATCCCAAAGGATGAGTTTTTCAAAGTAGTTGGAGATTTAATTATTCATACGGTAGCTGCAGGACTTCCAAACCTCCACTTCTAATTACTTTCTTTGTAATTATCCCTAATCACAGCACTGGAATCACACTAAATATGAAGAAAGCAGTTTCCTTCACTGGAACAAAGCCAATATGTACTTTCTCCTGAAACTTATAAAACTGCAATCTTCTCCTCACTAAAAAGTGTCATATGCTGACCTCAGTCAAATTTTTTCAGCCCAGATTATTCCCACACCATCTTTCAAATCCAAGGTAAATCAAAGGATGATGTGGACACTTTTAAAATATATCTGAAGTAAACAAGGGAAAAAAAATAATGTCTCATTTCAGGTCTAGGAGCAAATACTCATGAGGGATAGAACAAGCTGCGATTTTTTGATAGAATGTGAATTAAGTAATTCAAATTGAGTTAAACCATCCCCTCCTCCAAATGAAAATGATGGTATTTCAGAGAGAACACACATGAGGTATCTACTCAGAACACACTAATAAAGATTCTTTGGTATAGAGTGATAGAATCACTTTCAACTTGGTGGTTTGCCAGAATTGAAGCAAGGACATAAAGCTGTCCCACATCTCAAATTAATGCCCTAGACTCCAGCTTATACAGCTGGTCTTTCTCTAGGTCACTGGAAATTTAATTATGTCCACATAAGTCAAAAGGGAAAAAAAAAATGTGGACAAAGAAAGAAAAAAAAAAAAGACTTTGTCCTCTATCTCTTTTTCAAACTACAGGAAAGATCATCTCTCCTATTTTTCACTCCCTTATTTTCAACTGAAATGACAGTGAAAGAAGGGAAATTACTGATGATTTTGTGATACTATTATCTGCAAAAATGACAGACCTAGCTCAAACTTTCTGATAGGCACTTTAGCAAAAAAAAAATTCAGAGCTGTTAATGCCAAATGTAGTTTCAAGTAGCTGGCATAAAGGACTATAAATCTCCTTTAATTCCACAAAGCCAAGACATTTTCATTTTACAGCAAAACGAAAGGATTGATTATAACCCAAAAATACACAGCTCTTCTGGAGGAAAAGAAATGTCAGTCAAAAATATTTTTTAACTGCTACATTCATCAAACTAGTATATTTTGAAAAAATAAAATTATAAAATAATTGTAAATTTATCAGATAAACATAAAAAAGCAAGGAGACAGACACATAAATGTAGTTTAATGCTTGGAGCACCTCTATGTACCATACAGGAGTATATGCAGAGATTCTGACCATTTATGGGCCATGTTATGTTAGGCACGAGAAACAGTCCAGTTTTGCCAGCTGTTAGCACCAAGAAGGAGGATTTGTCAGCTCAGGAACAGTGCTATGCTGCTTATGAAATTCTGCCATGTTCAGTGCCATGTACAACACACATACAGCTGCACATATATCTTCTTACTAATCAAAATCCATCTAAATTTCCTTCGAGGCTAGTGCTTCTTCTTGGATAGATATCTCTGAGGTCTTGTATGTACCCAATAAACACTAGACAGAAAATCTTGGTAAAGCAAAAAAGTCTGAATTTAGGCTCTGAGAAAGATTTATGGTTTTATTTAAAAACGGACTTATTTTTGCGGGGCGGAGGAGGGGAGATGTTAATTAAACATTGCAGTTGTAGCAAAACCAAACATTTTTAAACTTACCTGAAAACAGCGTGAAAAACTCTAGTCTCTACCATATTTTCAAAAGCTGAGAAATACTGGCTTTGTCATGAATTATGTCAGCAGACTGGGCTTTCTGCTGGAAAGTACAGCAGTGGTTGAGCTCAGGTGTTTCTAAAAACCATTTGAAGGGTAGTTTCACTTTTCAAATTAAAAAAAAAAAAAAAAGGCGCTCTACTAGCGCTGGTTAATATAGTATTCCCTTAGGTAACCCAGAAAAGAAATTTTGTATCCTGAGGCACTCAAAACCTGTTACGCAACTACAGTCCATCAAAAAACATACAGTCAGAAGAAAGGCAGTAACAGAAAATGTGATGCCAAATTTATCTTGTCATACCTTCATATTAGATGCCTCAGTTTCCAGTTTTGTAAGGTGATTTGAGTTGTCCTCAAGCTCTTGTCGAAGGTTGGAGTTTTCCATCTTTAACGCTTCAACTTGCTTTAACAACTGATCATATGAAGCTGCAGCCATCCTGGGCTACCCTCAACCCTAGAAAAGTAAAAGACAACACAAAAATTAAACATTTTAAGAAAAAAAAAATGAAAAAATGAACTTCTTTTTTCCCTTAACCACACACTGTTGTAAACATTCAGTTCAATCTCGACATTCAAATCTATCTTGACTTCACCAAGGCTTTTGACACCATCCCTCACAACATCCTCCTGGGCAAGTACCGGAAGTGTGGGATAGATGAGTGCACAGTGAGGTGGATTAGGAACTGGCTGGATGGCAGAGCTCAGAGGGTGGTGATCAGCGGTGCAGAGTCTAGTTGGAGGCCTGTAGCTAGCGGTGAGAGTCCAGCGCAGGGCCACAAGGAAGATACGGGGCCTGGAACATCTGCCCTATGAGGAGAGGCTGAGGGAACTGGGCCTGTTCAGCCTGGGGAAGAGAAGGCTGAGAGGGGACCTGATCAGTGTCTATAAGTACCTCAAGGGAGGCAGTGAGGAGGATGGTGCTGGTCTCTTTTCAGTGGTGACCACTGACAGAACCAGGGGAAACAGCCACAAGCTAAAGCATCAAAACAGGAACTTAAGGAAAAATTTCTTAACAGTGAGGGTGACAGAGCACTGGAACAGGCTGCCCAGAGAGGTTGTGGAGTCTCCTTCTCTGGAGATCTTCAAAACCCGCTTGGACGCAGTCCTGTGCCCCATGCTCTAGGTGACCCTGCGTGTGCAGGGGGGTTGGACTAGATGATCTCTAGAGGTCCCTTCCTACCTTAAGGATTCTATGATTCTATGATTCTAATTCAAAACCATTAAATTAAGCTATTAATGGCATTTAGTAAGAACTAATGCCATTTCAAAACATTTTTCTCTAATCTTCCCTTCAGTTCAACAAAGAAGTTAAAAGTAATCGCTTCGGATATGATGGTAAACTAGAATTCATGAGGGAAAAATCATACCATCACACAAAATCATTGCTAGATTTAGCACTTCAATTTTAACAATAAAAAACAAAGGAATAATAGGCCATATAAAATCATGTTTGAACAGTCGACAAGTACTGGCAACCTTATCTACAAGATGCTGACTGACTGCCCACATATTGTATGAAGTAGGACAGTCGCAGATGCCCAGCACTCCTTAGAATAACATATAGTAATAGAAATGTTGTGTGAAAACAGAACTACAGTAAGAACTGAGCAGTTCTAACAGAGCAAAAGCATCAAATGTAGCAGCAATCAATCTTTATGATTAGGAGTTTTGCAAAAGACTTTAAATAAACATTCAATATATTTCCAACACACACACAAAGTGGTTATAATGAACAGTAGAAAAAAAAAAAAAAACAGATAAAAAGCTTTTTGTAGTACCAGGGATACTCCATACTGAAAACACAAAAAGGAAATTAGGAAGGAAATTATGAAATAAAAAAATTCCAATAGTTTTACAGTGATTTAGTCAGTAATCTACATTTTCAATGATACTTATTTTGAGAAATATGGTAACAATGCTAAAATACCACCACAATTATTCAGCCATTACAAGATATAATGAAACAAATATTCTAATTTAAGTGATAATATTTATATTATTTCCCGCTTTCCAAATTCACAAACCATTGGAGCTGTCATCTAAAAAATGTCATGCAGGATAATGAAAGCTTGGCTAATCACATTTGCAGCAATTTACAGTTGAAGCCCTCAATTTCTTACTCATCAGTCATTCAAGAGACTAACAGGAAGCCCACCAAATTCCACTGTAAGAATTTACTGAGCAAGTAAAGGCTCTGTAAGTCAAAGAAGAAAAATACAAAACACTTCCTTTTTCACTATTGCTTTCACTTTGCTTTGGAAAAGATCTAAAATCTAAAGTTAGATCCTCATTAGAACATTTTTTGTCCTCCTGGAGCATACTGCAAGCGCAGGCTGCCTGGAGAAGGGAGCTGACAGCGCAGCAGCCTCTGCGCACCCGCTCACCATCCCTCCGACCTCTGCAATTGCAAGGCCAAGAAGTGCCTGAGCAATCAATTTTGCTCTCCATGATCCCTTCTTAATTGAATTATCAGGCTAATTAGAAAGTTGGTAACATTAGCCCGTCAGTTGGACTTAGTTCACCTACATGAAATCTGAAAATTATGAAAAAATCTCATTTATGCTCAAATGCTAAAGACAATTGGAGAAAATATATATATAATTAAATATACATTTATACATATATATATAGCTATATATATATATATATATATATATATATATAACAAAAGCCATACTGTTTTTGATGCTAAGAGTCCACCACTTTCTCAAGAAACAGAGAAAGGACAGCAATCTGAGACAACTATTGTATTCCCTTCCATGGATTGTGTGCCTTTAGCATCAGATGGCTCCAAACCACCACTGTCAAATTCTGTTTTAACAAAAAAAAAAAAAAAAGTAAAAAAAAAGCAGTACACTCTCTTCTATTAATTTGCTAAATATTAATTTGCCACTCTAAAGAAAAAACATTAGCTGTAGTTTACATTTCTTTTCAGAACATAGACTACATGGACAATGCTGCAAAATCCCAAGCAAAGGTATATAAGTTTAGAATGGTTTTACTGTAAACTGCTGTAAATAGTATCATACTGTATTAGTAATAGCATCTGTTGTTTTATAAGAGACTACAAGATTGTACTGAGAAGGTAACTAACTAATGTTAATTTGTTGCATCTCTGACATGTTGGAAATACAGCTTAATTATATCCCACATTTATTCACTTGCATCCTACTGACAGAGGCTGCTGTGGACTGAGAGTTTGACATGAATGTCAGTTCCAACCAGGTTATGTTTTTCTTATATTATGCTAATATAAATTAGCATTTATATGGCATATTAATATGGATGGGGATAAATATGGATGGACAAGTAAGGACTGAGGTGTCAGATTCTTTCATTTTCCGTCTAATCTGAGAAACTATCATTCATGCATTTGCAGAGTAAAATAATTTGTCACATTAACAAAATTCATAATCACAAAGAAGAAAAAGGAGAAAAATGAGTGAGGAGAGAACCTACAGTACAGCAGCAACTGTGTGGCTCCAACTGGGTGGCTTCAATTTTTAAGTGAAAGCAAACTTAAATATAATTACGTTAAATAGTAAGATTCTAGTTATGGAAGGGGTGATACTGAAAGTTTTAAGTAGTACACCTTACATAAAGTGCCCACCAACTCTCTACAATTCCAACTTTAAGGCAGTATTTCAAAAAAAAAAAAAAAAGTTTTATTCGTGTATCCAGTAATAAAAAAATCACTATTTTTTCCTTAAAAAAGTGTGCTCCTCTTCTCACCCCCCAAATCCAACAAATTTCTCTTAGCTGAAGAGAAATTGAACTATACATTGAATAGTTTCAGATAAGTGAAATAAACGACACATTTGCCAGATTGTTAATTTCAATTGATTTGATAAGACTCAGCAGAATTCATGAGTGGCTTTAGGCAATGCCATCTGTTGCTATCACTCAGCATATGAAAACTGGAAGCAGGATTTCAAAACTCCGAAGAAAAAAATACGTTAAAAAATACCAATTTCATCATCTTTCTCTCTTGATCTTAGTTCCAAAGATCTCCTTCCTTTTGTGGAAAATGTATTTTTTCATAATACGGAATGAGGCCATGTTCCACCTCAAACTAGGAGTCAATTACAGATTTAGATGTCAAATACTACTATGTAGGTGTTCAGATAAAGAACTATTGAGATTAGCTCGCTGCTAGAAGCCAGGTAATCCAAGAACATCCTCAATTTTTATTAAATAACAGACACTGTCCACATTGACAATAAACTACAGTTTTCACAGTTAGAAAGGAAACTCAATCCTCAATAATATTTTGAACTTGAATCTAAAATAGTACTTTATTTTACCTTCCATTAGTATTAAATACAATTTTCTTGTGTTCACTTATTACAGAAGAAACCCCAAAGGTAAGTAAAAAACAAAAGCGTTTGTTCATGGAATCACTTATTATGATCAATACCTTTACATCACAAAATGCGGATTTTACACCACAAAATAACCTATATATCCCAATAAGTTAAATAATGAAGCTTTTGGTAATCCAAAACATCCAATCCAAAAGCAGGACTAGTTTGAAAGTCTTATGCTGAATTTAGAATTCAGAATACAAACATTAACAAGTATCTCATTTCTACTCTTCAAATCACTCATAAGCTGCAGAAACAGAAGGGAAGATAAATGAGGAAGATTAATGAAGCGATTTGAGAGAATTCAGCAAAGCGTTTTGGAACTCTGTATGGTGGCACATATTATTTAAGAGAAATCCTTACAGATTCAGTATGCTCGGCATTTCTCCAAAAGCACATGACAATTTTAGTAACAGATAAAAACGCTGTGTAAAAAAAGGGCTTCCAAGCTTGGTGATGACACAAACTGAAAGATGCTGCAAAACATTCCTGGTTACCTGAAGCCGATCTGAACATCTAGCGCTGGCACAGAAAACACAGAGGCAGGAGCTCTATTTCTAACTATTCTTTGTCATTCTCAACACTGTGCAGCTCTGGCACTTGCTGCGCATGTCCCGGCTGCAAGCATCATCAATAGCCCACCACAGCACTGAAGAGTGCCCCGAAGGGAAGCAGCGTGACTTTGGATGCACCAAGGGCCAGGCAGGCATGCCCTGCTTTCAGCGATGCCAGCTCTCTCCCAGCTAGATGCTTGCAGGATTCACTCCACCACAGCACAGCACTCCTCAGCAGCAAATGGACACCAACCTCCTCAACCTCCAAGATGATTCTTGGCAGCCTCCTGCCCCTGAAAAGGAAGGACTATCACAGCAAACTACTTTGCAGAAATGACAGATCCATTCTACCACCTCTATTATGGTACAACATTTGAAATGATGCCACTTGTAAAATCCACTAAGGTTATGATAGAGATCAGTAGGAAACTGTAAATAATTAAGAAATTAACAAGATGCCATGGGGTTGTGCTGAAAGTAGATTTGTTGGGATGGAGGCAGATTATTAGTCAAGTTCCCGAAGTACTAGTTTGTGA